TTAATTCATTCATTTTAATTCCTGCTTTCATCATATTTTCTCATTTCCTTCTTTTTTTTCCATAATTTAAAAAGACAACTATGATTGTTTTCTTTTTTTTTTTTGATTAAAATTTTCACAGATTGTAAAACGACGAGTACCGGTACCGCTTATCGAATATGAACAACGTACGCTTAAGTTTACATTATCAAAATCTCGAAAAAAGGAAGGTAATATTGATTGGATTAAATTTTTTATGAATAATGACGAAGTGAAAATTTTTGGTTGTCTATATAATCCTGCTAGCTATTTTACATCATTTAGCTTCATTTTTAGTTTCAAATTATCTTCATGCACTAATGTAAGATTAGATTTTGAAATTATTCAATTACATAAATAGATTAAATGGCATGAATAGCATGAATTGAAATTTTTGAATTCGAAAAAAAAATAGTTTTTGATTTTGGAAAAGAATTTTCCAATCGTTGGAATATGCGATGACTAAAAGTTTAAATTTCTCTATTGGTGGCATTCGTTAGTCGTGAATTTTTTTAGTTCAAAAGATAAGTAGGAGAAGAATTAGCAATTTAATAATTAGTAGAATGATTTTCTTCTAATTGAATTTGATTAGGATTGAAATTTGCATATAATCATCATGATGAAATTAAAAAATAAATTACATCTTGTATAATCTAAGTTATTTACCTTTTTTTTTTCTGATTCCTTGTGAGAACAAATCGCTTCAATTAGTTTCAATTTGCTAATTTTCATAATCAATATTTCGGATAACTTTTGATCCTTCTCTGAAAACGATCTTTTTTTGCATTTTGAGAGCTTTTTAAAACCGGAAATTTTTTTTTTCTGCAGCTTAACTTTATTAAAATCCCACTTTGCTTTTCTGTCGAGTGTACTAATCGTTGTTACGAGTATTTTAAGCTTCTTTCCAACCGAAAAAAAAAGGCTTAAAGTTGCACATTTATGATACAAAAGTTTAGCATCCCAAATTATTTGCAACTGAGGCGTTAATGGGACAATACCGCCAATGCTCATTTATGAGATATTTGATGAACAATATAACAAGCATATCATTATCTAAACAACATTTATTTCATTTTTAAAATGTTTGCTTAAAAGCTTTCATTGATTCATTTGGATCAGTTGTTTGTTGAGAGGGTTATTTTCAAATTAAACAAAAACTTTTTTAGTTAAATTTGTCGCAATAAAGTTTGCAGTAAAGAAAGATAAATTATGCTATAAAATTTACGGCATACTTTATAATATTGACATATGCTTTGTGAAAGCAATGAATAGAAAAAAAAAAAGAAAAGGAAAATAAGCAACGGAAGTGATTGAGTAAAAAAAATGAACGAAACATTAATTTTGTAAAAAAATTTTAGCAATTGAAGCAATAAAATGAAGTAAAAGTTTGCTTTTAAAATTAGTAAAAATGAGTGGCCATTTTAATTTCTATTCAGATATTCGAATTTTTTTATTAATTTCATAATTTTCCACATCGAAATTTTATCTCATTATTTATTATTTATTAATTTCGTAATTCCTTGTTTCTTATTTATCTCATTCATCATTTCCTCTTTTAATTTCTTAGATAATTTATTTGTTTTATTGAATTTTGCATTGAGAAGTATTATCTTTTAAGTTTTATTTGCTTTATTATGCAATGCGTTCTCTTTTTTTTCATTGTTAATTTAAACTTTTTTAAAACATTAAATAAATTATTTGTTTAATTGTTTATTTGGAAAATTTTTTTTTTGAAAAAATGTAAGTTAACACTTATTTTTCAGACTTTGGTATTATTCTTGGTTGTAAATTTTACATCAAAGAAATTACAAATCGTAAATTAGCTGAAAAGGATCCTGGTTTACGTGAAGGTGATACAGTACTCAGGATAAATGGTCAATCTGTAGAAGGTATTACAATTGAGGAAGCAACCAAATGGCTTTCAAAAAGTCGTGAAAAACTTTCGCTTGTTGTTCAGAGAGATGTACGACGAGATGGTAGCAGGTAAATAGCAAATGAATTTAAAAGTCTGTTCATGAATTAAATTTTCACGCAATTAAAATTGTAATATTGATTTGATTGAAATCATTAAAGTTATTTTTTTAACAATTTAATTTAAATTGCATAAATAATTTACCATGTAAAAAAGAATTTCGATACGATTTAAATATTTTAATCATTCATTAAAATATA